GGGGGGAAGGTGTTTTAAGATTTATTTCTCATTAGCCTACTCTGATTTCGATTGGCAATGAATTAAACTGATTTCCCCAAATTGAGTCTGTTTGCCCATGATGATTACTGCTGAATGGTCTCTCTCTGTCCTTTTCTTGACCCACAAGCTTCTTGTTATACTTTTTCTCCCCTGTCCAGCTGAGAAGGTGGAGTTACAGGACAGCTTGGTGGGCACCTGGCACCTAGCCAACGTCACCCCACTACAATGAGGTTGCATATTTTAAAATAGTCATAAAATTTATGAGGAATTTCAAAGTATTCTGATGAAGCTGCAATACGTCCACCTTATTCAGAAAGTTATTTTACCATTAATTTCTAAGACAAATTTGTATAACATTTGTTTTTAAATATTCTCCAACATACGTGTATTTACCATGCCAAATACCAGAAAGAAAAGTACAAAATACCTTCTATAATCCTGCATTTTTCCAGACCCTCAAATCTACAGTGCTGCATGCTTAATAGTGGCACAATTGATGACTGTGAATGGTTTTTCTTGAGTAATCCATTCGGCACCAGTAGCAGAGCCAAACGCGGAGAAGTTCTATAGTATGTCAGGGCTGGTTATTTTATTCATATTCCTTTCCACAGAAACATTTTATTACCCACTTCTTCCATGAAGATGAACACAAAACGGTTCATTTTTCACCTCTTTGAAGCTGTATGTCGGGGAGCAGCATGGACAGGTTGCTTGGAAAGAAAAGTGGAGCTGGGAGCCAAAAGTCACAGCAGGGTAGGCAGGGCAAGGCCCCCTCTGACAAGGGCACAGTCCCATGGCACCTGAGCAAAAAAGCAGAGTAGATCCGTGACAGCAACCAGGGACAGCTAACATAACAGTGAGTGCCAGATGAGGCTGTAATAACAAGGCAGATCTGAGATCATGCCAGAAGGTTGCGTCAGCAAGGCAGGGCTCAACCTGATGAGGGTAACCAGATCAGGGTTTGTCAGGCAAGTCTAGTAATGAGGCAGGTCCAATTCCAGCTGCACCAAGTTGTTCCCCAGCCCAGGCAGCAAAACCCCTGGGAGAACACGGTTATGCACTCTGGCTCCTGACATGATATTGCTTCACTGATCTAACAGCCTTTGGCACAACTAGGATCACCAGCATGTATTTATTTGGGGAACTAGCCTTTTCCCCATCACCCTCATAAAAAAACCACACTGAAAAAAATGTGCACAGTTCACTCACTAAGAATTACCATGTTGTTCGACAATTCCACTGTGACTACAGCAATAATGTCACAAAAAATCCACTGTTTGAAAGGTGGCATTTTAAGAGTATGTGGCTTAAAAATTCTCAGTGTAAATGACTTGCACAAGAATTAAGTATGTGCATCTCCTTCAGGAAGTCTTAGTGAAAGACACAAGTCCACAGCAACTTAGAACTCCAATGAGCATCTGGAGGATCGCTTGGAAGTCTGAGCATTGTGCTCCAAGGTCCATTAAAGAACAATTCAACCTTCCCATCTTATATTTATCTATTGCCATGTCAAAGTTAAAAATGTTTCCTAAAGGAGATTTTCATACATTTCATTTGCTTCACTGTGAGTTATTACCAAAAAAAAAAAAAAAAAGAATAATTCCAAGATGGAAAGACCTCTACAACTAGTTTTGAACAGAATCAATGTTCCACCTAAGTTTCATAACTGGTTTGACTGTAGAAATGAATGCTGAAGTTTCCACTAAATACAAAGACAATTATTCTGTCCTCTAATAAATTTTTTTATTTCTTTAAATATTAGCTTAAGGCAAGAGATATATTCAGCATGTTTATTTAATGAACTAATAAATACACTCTTCAAATTCCATGTATTGATTTGACATAAAATTGAAAACAGCTTCTCCATTGCAGCATTTAAGTATGACAGATGCACGAGAAATATTGGTTCTTTCAGCCTCATCTACACCAAGACAGACCACTAAGATACATGACCTATTGGACTTAGCAACAAAAATACACTGGCTTTTTGATGATTACATACGTGTGTTTGATGTGTGAAGCCAATACTGTTCAACTAAATGGAACTGCTAACATTTCTCTCTTAAGATGGATTCCTACATGAAAAGTTTCCTACCTAGCAGACACACCAAAAAGGCATACTTTACGTAAGTAAAGAAGGAGAAAGAAAAAAAAAAAAAAGAACAATATATAACATCACAACATTGCAAAAGCAGAAGCAAAGCTAAAACTGATATCATAAAACTAATAACCTTGATGAAGATTGACTCAACTCTGGTGTGCTAGCACATGAAAAAATATCCAAGCATTCTTATGGAACTATTTTCTCCTTGTCTGTTATATGTTTATAAGCATGAACCAGATAGTAAGGAATTCTGGCAGCTGTCAAATGCTTGTTTTCCTGTGTAACACAATGAAATTGTTCTCCAAGTGGTGAAACAGGTGTGACATTTTTCCAGTCTCACCTTCTTTATTTAGACTGCAAGCAAATTAGAAACTATCAGCTAGGAGATAATTCTTGGAACATCATGTTGTGGGATATTAACTGATATGAATGAGCAACTGTGCTTAGCTTTCCATAGATACACACACACACACACACACACACACAACACACCCCCTTTGCATTTAGCTACTTGAAGGCATGCCCTGATGCAAGCGTATTTGCCACTGAAAGGTAACAATGTTCAAGTCAATCTTTAGTCAAGGTAAAATTAAGCACGCAATAGTGAGACAGGAACACTAAATATTTGTTGTGATTTGTCAAGACATCAAAGGTAGTACTTCAGTCTATTTACCAAACTTAATATTACTCTAAGATTGAGCATTTATAAGCCTATAGTAGAGGTTTATTGAGAACAATTTTCTAAAAATACCATAATGAAGTCTATGCCTTAGAAAATATATTTTTAGAAGTGATGCATTGGATAGCTAACTACATATTGATGCTTACATTTAAAAAAAAGAACAGAACCCTTAGAAACCTTTTTTTTAACATTACTTGACATCACACAGAAGTGCTACCCCACGCAGTACCCAGTGCTCTGGAGGCTGAAGGGTTTTAAGATCCACAGCAGCAATATAATTCAAATCTGTTCGAATGGTCTTTTTGTAGACTGGACATGAATACAGACGTGGATCTTTTGAAGCTGAAAAGACATGAGACACATAAAAACCAATAAAACTAGGTTGAAAAAACAGGGCCCTAAGGGACTGGGCATAAGGCAAATGTAAAATTGAACTGAAATTCAATAGCACACAGCTCTCCATCATCACCAGAGAAAAGTCTTACTTGATTCTCACACTGTTCACTACTGTGTTATTGCCAGCTGAAGGCCACATATGGCTTGAAAATCCTGTAGGTTTAAGATATAAAATCAGCACCTAGGAACTGGACGTAGCAAGAAGTCTAAATGGACACTCTAGTGTGATTAGTGTTATTATTAGTTCAATCTGCCTGCTGAA